TTTTTTTTTCATCCTGTATATTTTATTTATCATGTTACATTTTTCCCCCAGTGGAATGTAAACTCCATGAGGGCAGGTTTTTGTTTTCTCCACAGTCTTTTTTGCTCACTTCTGTCTTTCCAGTGTGTGTAACAGTGCTTTGCCCGTAGAGATGTCCATTGTGTGTTCAGTGAATGACTTGATGCCTAAGGCATTTGACTGTTAAGCAGAAGTCTGGCGGTTCAAATGCACCAGCCACTCCTCGGAAGGAAGACTGGGTAATCTACTTCTGTAGAGATACTGCCTCAGAAACCCAAGGAGGGGTCATTATGAGTCGAATCCGACTCGACAGCAGTGAGTTTGGTTTTGGTTTTGGTTATTATTTACTAGGCACTGTTATTAACACCATTAAACATATGTCTAGTAGAAATTCATTTAGTTAAGATTCTATTTGTTGTCTAAGGAACAAACTTTTTAAAGCATACGAATAATATAAGTTCAGTAGCTTAGGAGCACAAAATGTCATTTATATCATTTGGTGAAAATAGCTGTAAAGATACAGTTACCATGATGTTTTTAAATGGAAGAAAAATACTTGGGAATTCTCAGAAAGTTAATTATAATAAAGTGTTTCACTAATGCTGTCATCATATGTACTAACTATTGTAAGACATGTAATAATATTTCATTCATCAGATTTACTGGCCAAAAGGACATTTAACAGTGTATATTTAAAAAAAAAAAACTCTCCTGTTATGTTTTTTTCTCATTTTTCAGACCCTCCACCTGTGCTACGAGTTGATGACCGGCAGCGGCTGGCCCGGGAACGTCGTGAGAAACGGGAAAAACAGCTAGGTATCCCAGGCCCCACGTCCACACTCTCATTTGATCAGTCAGGGACGCACCTGTTGAAATGTTGCTTTTTTACCTCTAAGATGATAGGTATTTAACACTGAGAAAATGGACATCACTATGTTAAGGAGCTCTGGTGGTGCAGTGCATAAGGCATTTGACTGCTAACCAGAAGGTTGGTAGTTCAAACCCACCAGCTACCTCATGGAAAGAGGATGAGGCAATCTACTTCCATAAAGATTTACCACCTTGGAAACCCAGTGGGCATTGCTGAGAGTTGGAATCAACTCAGTGACAGTGAGTGTGCTTTTTTTAGTTTTTTGTATTAACTGTGTTCTTTGTGTGCCTGTATAAGTTTGGTAATGGTGTTTGCTACAGATATATTGTGAAACAGTTAATACCTGTTATAAGCATAAGGCTAAATTTGGAGGAACAGTGGAATTAGGGTCAAACCCAGGCTTAGTCAGTTTTGCTTCTTTATGTTGTTTAACAGTGTTAAACTTAAAAGGTACTAGAGGGATAGCTTGTCTGTAGATTACATTTTACAACTTGAAAAATAGAAGGGCCAGTGAGCATACGGCTCTTTTTGATTTGAAAACTTATGAGACCTTGCAAAAACGCTGAGGAGGCCACATGTTCTGACCTCCTCTAATCCTACAAGAGGAAGACAGGATTACCAGCAGTAACCCAAGGCTTATTCCTGCCAGGCCAGACATGCTGCCTCCCTCCAGCCGTTTCACCAACCGTTCCTCCCAAAGCACCCACTCACCACCTCTCTCCTGGGTTCGATAATTTGCTGCAGTGGCCACACAGAGCTCACAGATTATGGGGTTTATTAGGGAAGCACCACAGGCTACAATTCAAGTTCAGGAAAAAAAATGCTCAGTCTCTCTCCCAGCCCACTGTCCCTCAGTCAACAGTCTCTCACAGTCTCTTTCCCAGAAGTACTGGTCCCTCGGTGTCTCACTCAGCAATGCGTGTCTCTTGCGTCTCTTTCCCAGCAACGCGTATTTCAGGAGCCCATGTCTCTTTCAGCAGCATGTCTTCCTCAACCAGCAGTCAGAGAGAGTTCTGCCTCTAGGAGGCCTCCTTTTGAGCACAGCAGGGTGGTCAAACTAGCCAATTATAGCATCAGAACTCTAAGCACCTGAGAGAGAGTGGGCACCTCCCAGAACATTGTTTTGTTCCACTCCCAACAGAAATACTCCAGGTGGACACCTTCAGCAATCAGGAGCTCCTCAGTTGCTCATAGCAAATCTCACCTTGGAGTTTACAAAGACTTATGGGTAGAAAAGCCACACAAAGTAATTTACTACACTGCAGACCTTATACTACTAGCGCAGTTACTGCCTCCGTGCTGGTAATAATGCTACTGTTGAATTTATAGACAATGCTGCCAGTATGCTGACAAGAAATGCACAAGTGCTCAGGTGTCTTGATTCTCCTTTTGTTACCTAATGACCTTGTGGAAAGTTAGCAACAACTCCATAATCACTTGGAGAGCTGGGTCATGGATTTAGCTTGTCAGGAAGCAAAGACTAAAGCACTCAGATGTTGAATAGTCATTGTCTTCTAGAACACTGAGCAAGGACCCTGCTACCAACTCCTCCTTTACTTTGATGTCCATTTCTGCAAACTTGCTAACACAGGATACTCTCTTTATCTACCTCGGAAAGATGAAATGCTCTGTCAGCATGTCTCAGTGTTTCGAGACTGTCTGGTTATTTTAAAACTAAGACTTACTTAGGTTGCCAAAAATCTATCCAGCACATGACCCTTAACTTTTCTAAAGCAACTGAATTTTATAAGAGTCGGTGTTTCAAATGGGAAGCCCAGCATTCCATCCCTTTGAACTTAAATTTGTGGAACTGAGTGGTATGTAGAACCAAACTGGTTATCAAAAGTGTGTTGACAATATGTACATTGTTTTAACACAGGCCTATTTCTGTCCTTTGCCATATGACCATGTTGTTGTTAGGTGCCATTGACTCGGCTCCAACTCATAGCGACCCTATGTACAACAGAACAAAATACTGCCCGGTCCTGTGCCTGCCTCACAATCCTTACTATACCTCATTTTTAAAAATAAATTGATTTTGGCCGTTGAAGATTTACAGATTTTACTAATTAGTTAGTAGTGAGCAAGCTCTGCGGACGTCTGTGCCTGGAGTTTCCACCCAGGTCCGAAGTTCCCTATCCATGACAGATTGCCTGCAGACAGGGAGGCTACTGGAATGCTGTCTGTGTCCAGCAGGGCTCCCCCTTCGCTGTAGCAATCTGGTCTGCAGAGTTCCTGCTGAGAACTGTGCCTGTTGTTCCCTAGTCAAGGCTGGTTTGACCAATGGGCCAGAACTGAGGAACAGCAGGAAAGGCGGAGCTCCTGAAGCAGGAGGAGGCGCCAGCTGAGCAACAGGAAGAAACCGACTCCTGTTCTGGTGGCTGTCATTGCACTGTTCTCAGATCCATTCGAGGATTGCTGTTCCCTGCCACCCTGTCCCAGCTGGATTGGGTCTTAAGCTATTGAGTATCTCCTTAGAGTTACCACATGAATTCATAGCTGCTTGAACAGACTATGAATGAGGTCAATAACACTATTCCTTTATGGTTAGAATCTCTTATAAATTAGCTTTTACATATTAACTTATACCTTCCTGCTTGACTTTTTGTATCTTTCAAAGTCAAACAGTTTTTCCTGGAAAACATGAATATGTTGGTAAAACAAGTGATTTTACTTCTCATGCCATAAAGTTATAAGACTTACAGCTCTGACTCTGCAGATTCTCTCTAAAAGCTCCCTAGTCATTAGCTTTGTATGTTGAGGGCTAGAGTTGGTTTTTTTTTTCCCACTCTTTATGATGTAGTCCCATATTTCAATCATATGGATGGCATAGCACTTGGTCTCAGCATAATTCATTAGTTGATGCATTTAAAAGCCTCATTTGCTGTTATTGTGTCTAGAAGATGATAAGATGAACGATGCTGAGATCCAGTGCTCTAGGGCCAGCCATAG